GTGCTCCGATAGGAAAGGTACGGATGATTCCGGTACCCAGGATTGTAGGTGTTGGAGTATGAGTTGTTTTGCCTATAAGCTTGAAATGCATTAACTTGCTCCACGGAACTCCTGCAATCTTGTTCCCAATGACCTAAAATTCCACAATTTTCACAGAAAGCCTCATTAGCATTATTATTAATTGCAGAAACACTAGCTACATGATTAGTGCTAAGATTATCTAATTTTTGGCAGATAGAAGTTAATTGAGCTTGCAAAAAGGACACAGAGTCAACACTATGCTTCCCATTATTAGCAAAGCCTCTAGGATTCCCATATTGGGAATTATGTATCACCATATCTTCAATAACCTGACCTGCATCATCAACATTAAGATTCATAAACCTCCCACTAGCTGCAGAATCTAAAATTATTCTAGATGAATTTCCAATGACATTGTAAAAGGCTTGGATTAACTGCCATTATGCCAAATTATGGTGGGGGCATTCTCTTTATAGGTCCTTGAACCTCTCCCAAGCCTCATATAAAGTTTCATCGGCTTCTTGGGTAAAGTTCTGAATTGCACTCCGTAGTACGGCTGTTCTCTCTGCAGGATAGTACTTGTTATAAAAATTCAAAACAAGAGTTTCCCAGTCAGTTATATCAAGTGCAGTTCTATTTAAACCATTAAACCATAATTTGGCTTTTCCAGTTAAAGAGAAAGGAAAGAGAATCTCCCTGATTTGGTCTTGTGTGACCCCGACTTGCCTGATGGTATTACAATACTGACAATAGTCTGCAATGTGAAGATTTGGGTCTTCACCCTTAGCTCCACTAAATTGCTTCCTCTCTATCATCGTTATAAATTAGGGTTTAATCTCAAATTGTACCCCATCAAGAGCTGGAGTGGGAGTGAGATGTGGAAAATCTGTAAGCTTTGGTTGTGAGTAATCACTAAGCTTCTTTGGAGCCGTCATCTATGATTATGGATATGATAATACCTCTGAATCGCTAGAACCAGTTGGAGGATCTCGATGATTATTATTATCACCAGAATCCGCCAGAATTTGCTTGTAAAAATTCTTCTGTCTATGGAAGGATCGTTCGATCTCAGGGTCGAATGGGATGTACCCTGATATGGAACACCTGGACATAAACAAAAAAAACTAAAAGCAAATATGAGACTTGCCTCAAAGAACTAACGTTCTCTGAGACAAAAAGAAATAACCTAGACTACAAAAAATAATCAGAAACCAAAATAGAACCGTTTCCCCGGCAACGGCGCTAAATTTTGACAGGGTAAAGTCGTATCCCCTAATCAAAATTAATTCCTAAATCCTCTAACTAATGTAGATAGGGAAGTAGGGTCGAATCCACAGAGAAACGAGTCTTTCTATTCCTAATTAACTAATATATCTAGATTATAAAGTAACCAATATATTATAATCAAAAGGAACTAAAATACGAAGATTAAGAATATGGAGAAATAATGAATAAAAGGATCTAGGGCATAGGTTCACCAATAAATAATATTCCAGGGTAAAACATAATAATCAATCATCAATGCATACATTAGTCAGATTATAAAGGGCTTTCGCTACGTATTACAATCACACAATTAATTTACCGGTATTAAATCTCATCTCTCGAATCTCGACTTAACCATTTATAAATTAACCTGCCTATTTAAACTAGACCTAAACATTAATTCTCATCTGTCGAATCTCGAATCAATATTGTTAAACTCATGCATAAAAGAGCTGCGCAAATCTAGTCACAGAGCATTAAATCAATCAATAGGAAATTAATCTAGAATTGACAATTAACAACAATAAATTACCCCTTCATATTATTTATGGATCCCCATAAACCCTAGAAATAGAACTACTCACACATAATAAAAACTAAACTAATCAAAGCAATAAAACAAGACGTGATCAAAGGAATAAAATAAATAACTAAGATTAAGAGAAGAGAAATCGTTACCAAATAAATCTGGAATTAAGAATAGAGTTAAGAACAAAGTATATGAGAGAGAAACTAATATAAAAGCTAAGTAGATAGAGAAAATCTAAGAAATAATTAAGAAAGAGTAAAAGAAGGTCCTAAACTCGTTATACGGGAAAGTATTTATACTCCGTAAGAATCCTAAACTAAAACAAACTTAAACATCAAATAATTAACTCCTAACAATAACACGCGCCCGATCGGGCCGCCTTTTTCCATCAGGTACATTTCTCGCGCTCGGTCGGGCGCGACTTTGGGCGCCAGCCTTTGCTTCCCTCGCCTGGCTGGGCGCGCCTCCGGGCGCTAGCTCGGCCGGACGGCTCTCTTGGGCCACTATTTGGACTTCGATTGGGCTCAAATTCTTCGGGCTAATTTGGGTTTCCTCTTCGGGTCTTGAATACTTGGTCCAAATATTTCAAAACAATTTCCTAACGGGATTCTAAAGATGATAGCACACTCGTCACATATAATTACATAAGCACGTAGTTGGCACACAATATTTCAAAACAATTTCCTAACGGGATTCTAAAGATGATGGACATTGAAAATTACCTTGATCGTGCATAAAAACTCAAGGTAATTAACCTCCGAAACGTTTACCTAGTAGCCTCCGTCTACAAATAAACCGATGATAAACTAAGTTAGTAATACTATACGCCTCTAAATTGCCTACATACAGACATATGAAAGAAATTTTCTACTTAAAGAAAACCAAACCAAAAGAACATTTGTAACCTTATTTCAACAAAAAGTCAACTTATCATCAAATGCTTCCATATTTCGATACGAAGTATGAAATTCCACCACCCTAGGTACTGCTACCCTTAGATCACAAAGATACTAACTTGTTTCCACCTCCTTTTATTTAATCTTCTTTTTTTTTTTTTGGAAAGAAATCGGATAAGGGCATTACAGTTTGTGTTTTTTTGGGGCATAATTTCAAAAGGGATGATGTGCTAACGCAACAATGGTGATGATGATGATAATTGATGGTATGAGTTGAAGTTATGGTGGTATAATATTGAGATATAACAATGGAGACAAGCAACAGATTCAATTTGAGTGACAAAAGGTTGGGTTCGTCAACGGAGTTACGGTTTTAGTAATGAAAGGTATTAAAGATTACTAGCCGTAAGATTGAAACTTAATTGACTAGTTAAATTCGTCAAAATAAAGAAGAGATTATGAGCTCTCTTAACTATCAATTTGGCTTACCAATTAATGGAGATGAAGGGTGGAAGAAGAAGCAGTGTAGTTTTTGGTGCTCTCCCTTTCTCACGGTCAAGGCAAAATATATAGGGTGGAAATGAGGTATAAGATAGATTCATGTAACTAATTATGATAAGATCAAAATTTAAATTGTTAAATAAAATTAGTTTTTCAAATGAAATATTGAGATAGAAATCTCACGTTGAAATCAATTATTTTTTTTCTTATTTTTATTTTTTTTTACAAAAAATCCGAAAATAAAATAATAATTATAAAATCTATTAATATAACATATACCATTAAAGTTTAAAAAGTTTATACTAGCTAGAAAAATTTTGGGGTATTATATGAACCCAACCCGAAATAAATGGGTTTTAGTTAAAATTTTCAACCCGTTTATGTAATTGGGTCAACTCGAACCCGACCTGAAAATAAACAGGTCGGGTTCGGGTTGGAAATCCCAACCCGAAAATAACCCGCCTAACCCGTTTAACTAATTTTGGTCAGAAAATCATAACCCGTGTAACCCATAAGAAAAAAATTTTGGGTCAAGCCCAATGCAATAGAAAGTCATATAAATATAAACTAAACCCTAAATGAAATTGATTCTTCATTTCTACTGCCTCTCCTCCTATCTCTTCATTCTCTCTCTTCACTAGGCTCATTCACTCTCTCTCTTTATCACCACTACGATGGCATACCACTTTCCTCTAACTTTTTTCTCTTTCACTAACACACTAATTGAGGTAGTAGATTAGCTGATTAGGTGAGAATTTATTCTTAACTTCTCTTCTTCAATATCTAGCTCTTGAATTTTGATATTTCATTACCATGAAATTACCCATTGAAAAGAAGAATCAATTCAACCAAGACAAGCTGGAGAATATTGATTATTGATTTCTGTAAAAGTTATTTTTTGTTGAAAATTTTAATACAAAATGTATACGAAGTAAGTAGTGAGTATTTGTGAATGTAAATATGTATTAAATAATTTAATTTTTTAAGAGTAATGCCTACAGTGTGTTAATTCGAGTGGGTAAATAATGATTTTGTTTGGTTTTAACTTTTAAGACTCATAAACACGCTTTTAAAAAATCAGGTTAAATGGGTCGGGTTTAGGTCAACCCGTTTGTAAATAGGTTGGGTCGGGCCAGAACTTCTGACCTGTTTATGTAAACAGGTCGGGTTTAGGTTTGGGGGTGTTGACCCGTTTATCTAAATAGGTCGACCTGAACCCGACCCGACCTGATTGCTAGCCCTAGCCATAATGCTTTTTCCTCCTTTTGCTAACTCTGCATTAGGACTAATGATGACCCATCCAATCCCTGCCACTAATTTGCCCTTTTTGTCCTTCTTCCAAGCACCATCCGTGAACATAGTGAGCACTAGGTCGTTTACATAGCTGCCCCTAAACTAGAAATAGTCCCTCCTCATGGAATTGGCACATTTCCTTCCCTGAAGCTCACTCATGGTCTTCAACCTTCAGAATGATTCCTCCAGCAATGCCATAATTCACTAGTAGAAAAACGTTCATTTGCGTCGCCCTATTTGCGTCACTCATACAAAATAACGAAGCAAATATTGTTTTTTAGCATCCTTAAAAGTTATGTGCATCGCACATTATCAAAGAAGCGATGCAAAAGTCAGATATATTTCAGCTTTCAGTTATTTGCGTCACTCTTAATTATTGGAACGACGCATATGATAATGTTATTTGCGTCACTCATTCAGTGACAAGTGACGCAAATGAGTGAGTGAATTAATTTGCGTCACTCCTGAAATTAATAAGCAACGCAAATGATTAATGTGTAGCATAATAATGTTCATTATTTGCGTTACATATTATTAGTACAGTGACGCAAATAATTATTTTGCTTAGGTTTTGGTTTCTCTTATAGCTTAGCTTGCTGCCTCCCTTTCACTAAACAAAAAAAAAAAACATTTGCTACTCCATCCCTTCCATGACAGTGATTTCCTCACCAAAACACCTAGAAATTTGACCAAAAAACCCCAGAAATTTGACTAAAAACCCCCTCAGATTTTCGACCAAAAATTAGACCAAAAACCCAGCAACATTTGAGCAGAAATTCAACCCAAAAACCAGATAAATTCGAACAAAAAATTGTCCAAAAACCCAGCGTAAATCGACCAGAAATTTGACCTAAACCCAGCAAAAGTCGACCATAAATTCGTCCAAAAACCCAGAGCAATTCGACCTGAAATTCGACCACAAAACCCAGCGAAATTCGACCACAAATTCATTTAGGTTTTCAGCGATATTCAAACCAAAAACTCCCAAGATTTTCGACTAAAAAACCCCCCACAAATTCAACAACAAAATTGCAATCAAATCGGGAAAAATTCAGAGCTACATTCCCCTAATTTTGAGCAAAACACCAAAAAAAAAACCCTAACATATTCGAAACCATATAAATCCCAGAAAAATTGAACAAATTCGAGCATAAATCCTCCATTTCCAGCAAAAAAATTGAATCAAAACCCTAAGTTCGAACCCTAGAAACCCCAAAAAAAACAATCAAAATTCCTGGCAGATTATTCGAGTAATGCAAGGAATTATTGTCTGAATACTTGATTTATTTTGCCCCCCAAAACCCTAGGAAATTCGAGCAAATTAAAGCAACAATAATTTGTAAAGCAACATTGGTGAATTTGTGAAGTCGATTTCACCCAAGGTAAGATTGCTTCTTGTTTTAATGTTCAAATTTTTCATGGTAGATAGAATGTAGCCACTGACTTGAACAAGGACTTAGTTTAATTTTAGGTTTAGTGTTAGTTCATTAGAAAATAATTTTTAGTGTGATTGAATTTTGTTGGTTTAATAGATGTAATTTTATATGGCATATTTCTCAATTATACGGAAGTGAATTCCTCAAGTTGCATGAGTTTTTGATTGTGGACAAACGATTGAGGCGGTAGTGCACATACGACATTGTCTTCACTTGTGGTATATATATTTTGACCATTCTTTTTAATATTAACATATTTTTTGTGGTTAGTATAATGATTGTGAATTGTATGAGATTTGTAATTGTGATATTATTGATTGGAATTGCAAAAATATTTGCATCACTGGCTTAGATACCTGTTCAGGGCTTACTCATTAGGAGTAAGTCATGAATAGTCCCCGGTTTGGGACTGTTCTATCTCATTTAGGTTGTAACTACTTGAATTGTTTTTGGGTCTAAGAAGATCATAGCTCACTATTTCCCAATCGTTCTCTGGGTACATATGTAGATAGTCGATTGTCTACATCGTGTGCTTAGAGAACTATAGGGAAACGCTGCCAAATTTTCTTCAGAACCAAACTTTACAAGTAGTTATTAGTGAGATGGGACATTGAAGAATGGGTTAAGTTAGAGTGATAAGGACCTAGTTGGATCATGTTATTACATTTACATGAGATAAATTTTGAATGAAAATGATTTGTGCTTTATAATCTTGTTTATGGTTAAGAACATTTATATGTTTGAAATTATACACATTTTCTTAAAATTAATTTTTGTTATTCAGTGGTTTAAATGGATCGAAGTTGGATGTATGGTAAGCGAAATTCTACAAGAATTTTACAAGGAATTGAAGAGTTTAGTAATGTTGCCTTAAAAGACAAGGAATTGAAGAGTTTAGTAATGTTGCCTTAAAAGACCAAACAGAGAATAAATCAAAGATTATTCTTTGTCCTTGTTGTGACTGTAATAATTCAAGGGGGTATCGTGATATAGATGATATTAAAAAACATCTAATTTGTCGTGGGTTTAAAGAAAACTACACAAGGTGGACATGGCATTGTGAGAGCATATATAATGAGACAAGTTCTAGTTGTTTCCCAATGGAAGATGAGAATCATTGTGATGATGATAATTAACATCAAGGTGAGGATATCGATACCTCTGATATTGGTGTTGAGAGTGAGAATGGAGTGGAGAAGGATAGGATAGATGAGATGATGCATGATGTAGAAGACAATTTCACATAGTGTCCCCGTAAATATGATAGTATTTTGAGAGCTGCAAAGACACCGTTATATCCTGGTTGTACAAAATTCACTAAACTTGGTGCCATTTTGAAGTTATTTAACTTAAAGGCGAGCTATTGTTGGACCGACAAGGGTTTTACGCAGTTGTTGGAAGCATTAGTGGAAATGTTCTCCGAAGGGAATGAACTTCCAAACTCCACCTATGAGGCCAAGAAACTTATGTGCCCTTTAGGTATGGAGTATGTGAAGATAAATGCATGTCCCATTGATTGTGTGTTGTATTGAAATGAGTATGCTAACTTGCATGAGTGTCCAAGGTGTGGAGTTTCTCGTTACAAGATGAATGATATTGGTGAGTTGTGTAAGAAAGGGTCTCGGCTAAGGTATTGTGGTATCTTCCAATTATACCGAGATTTAGGCGACTTTTCTTAGATGAAAAAAATGCAAAATTATTGAGGTGGCATGCTGATGGAAGGAAGAAAGATGGGTTAATGAGGCATCCGGCTGATTCCCCGCAATGGAGGAACATTGATCGAAAGTTCAAGGATTTTGGTCAAGAAGATCGAAATCTTAGGCTCGGTCTTAGTATAGATGGAATGAACCCATCTAGGACACTTAGTATCTAATATAGTACTTGGCCGGTTCTTCTAAGTATTACAATTTGCCTCCTTGGTTATGCATGAAGACTAGATACATTATGTTTTTCTTTCTAATATCCAGGCCTAAACAACATGGAAATGACATTTATGTGTATCTAACGCCTCTCATTGAAGATTTGAAATTGTTGTGGAGTGAAGGTGTCAAGATGTTTGATGCATATAGTAAGACCAATTTCACCTTACGTGCCATGATTTTTTGTACGATAAATGGCTTCCCAGCTTATGGGAATTTGTCAAGGTACACAGTGAAGGGAACAAATCCTTGCCCAATTTGTGAGATGATTTGGAGGCATTGCGGACAATTGTGGCAAGAATGTGTACATGGATAATCGCAGAAATCTTCCTGAAGACCACTCTTTTAGAAAGAAAAAGGACACATTTAATGGAAAAGTGGAGTTGAGAGAAGCCCATGGCCCTTTACGTGCAAGTGAGGTTTATGAGCAAGTCAACAACATTGAGAATGAGTTTGGTAAGCTCTAGAAAAGCAAATCAAATGGGGGTTATAAGAAGAAGTCTGAGCTGTGGTCTCTCCCATATTGGAGACATTTAGAAGTTAGACATTGTCTAGATGTAATTAGGGGTGTCAGTTCGGATAATCGGATCGGGTCGGGTAAATTTTTAAAGTTGAGTTTTACTAAGTTATTATGTCCACGCGAGTCCAAATCTGAATTTGATATTTTTCGAGTCGGTTTCGGATTGGGTCGGGTCGGGTGTGCTTTTGACACCTCTAGATGTAATGCATATTGAGAAAAATGTCTGTGATGCCATTGTGGGAACTTTATTGAATATGCCAGGAAAGACAAAGGATGGATTTAAAGTAAGAAAAGACATGGCTGCTATGGGTCATTCAGAGTTGGCACCCGAATCTCGAGAAAAACGATGGTATCATCCCCCAGCTTGCTTTACCTTGTCTAAAAGGGAAAAAACTAGCTTATGTGAGTCATTGCATGGTTTAAAGGTCTCGGCTAGATATTCTTCTAATTTTCGTAGACTTGTGTCAATGGCTGACTTAAAATTGAGTGACATGAAATCTCATGATTGTCATGTCTTGATGCAACAATTATTACCAGTTGCAATTCGAGGAATCTTGCCGCCTCAAGTGAGGTATACGATTACAAGATTATGTGTCTTTTTTAACAGTATCTGTAGCAAGGTCATAAATCCAAGTATTTTAGATGACTTGCAAGCAGATATACTTGAGAAAATGTGTCGATTTGAAATGTATTTTCCCCCATATTTTTTTGACGTGATGCCTCATTTGGTTATTTATCTTGTTCGTGAAATCAAACTTTGTAGACCCGTGTATATGAGATACATGTACCCTTTTGAACGAGAAATGGGTGACTTAAAGGGAAAAGTCATGAATCCGGCCAAACCTGAAGCTAGTATTTTACAACGAACAGTTGTCGAGGAAGTGGCAACATGGGTTGCTCAATATCTTGCACGTTCACAGAATATTGGGTTGCCAAAGTCTTGACACAATAGGAGGCTCGGAGGTCAAGGCACTATTGGTAGGAAAATGATATCCATGGGCTTTGATATGAAAAATTAAGGCCAAGCTTTTTGTGTTGCAAAATCTTAGTGAAGTTCATCCTTACTTGGACGAGCACATGATTTTTTTTAAAAATAAATATCCTTCCAAAAGTGATCTTTAGGTAATAAAGGACCATAATTGTTCATTCGTTACATGGTATAAGGAACGAGTGATGTCCCAATTGTCCACCACACTTAACGATATATCTGACACATTGAGATGGTTGGCATATGGTGTTAAATGTCAAGTCATTTCATATGAGGGATACAACATTAATGGGTATTGTTTTTACATTAGCCGACAAGATGACAAGTCAACAATGCAAAATAGTGGTATTAAAGTAATAGGTTTGTCATCTGAGTATGTTACTGCACATGATAAAACACTTGTGGATAAGAAGAAATTTTATTATGGAATCATTGAATGGAAGAAATAATAGAGATGGACTATGTTGATGTAATACCCCGTATTTTCATACGTATTTTCCTAATTAATTAATTAGGAATTATTTTATAAAAAAGGGTATTTTAGTAAATTTACTATTTGGAGCCAAAGTAATATTTGAATTTTGACGCCAAAAGTATTTTGAAAACTAATCATTTTTTTGGATAAGATTTATTATCCATTTATTCTATTTTAAAAATTGGATTATTTATATATTTCGGATATTTTAATTAAGGCAAAAGCTATATTTTATTATTATTTTAATAAGTCCGAAAATCCCATTTATTTGACTAATAAATTTCGGATTTTCCTATGTGAAAATCTGATTTTATTTGTTAAATTATTTGGTATTTATTATTTAATTATTTATTACAATAAATATTATTTACACAATTATTTTAATTCCTTAAAACTAGCAAAATAATTTCCTAAATACTAAATAGGAGGGCCGAAAATATGAGCTTAGGAAAGCTCAAAAATTTGGCCATCCCATGTAGATTTTGGGAAAAATATTTTGGTAATTTGTATTTTTTAATTATCTCCTTAAATTCTCCTATTTTCCTTAATTCTAATTCTCCATCTTTTTAATATCCAATGATTATATTTTCTTGCCATTCATTCTTCTTAATTATTCCCCAAGTAATTTCAATTTCCTTAATATTTTTCATGACATACATACCTTCCATATTCAATTATACACAATCTCTTCAATATCAAAACTTTGCTTAAATCTTTACTCACTTCTCCAAGTAATCCCTTAAACCCTACTTACCATAATTCTTCCTACATTTTCCTACCATAATTCATGATCATACTAGCCTATAAATACCCCTTCAATTCATGTTCAAACCTCACACAAAATTTTCATAACTCTCTCACAAATTCTCTAAGCAATTCCTTATTCTTTTCCTTTTCTTTTCTTTCCTTGCGCCACCACCACCACCGTACATCACCTCCACTCCGTCCGCCACCTGCCGCCACCCTCCAACCTCCGGCAGCCACTGCTGCCACCACCTCCCCTCTCTTCTCCTTGGTTTCTTACACTTCTTCTCCTTTTCTCTTATTTAATTATTATTATTATTGTGGTTGATTAATGTAAAATTATTATGAGTAGTTTTAATTATATAAAATCAGATTTTAATGATGTTTATGTTGTTTTAATTCAAAAGGTTCATGTACATATAGTTGGGAGGGTTTAATTTAATTGTTTGTGATTATTTGATAACCTTATAATAATTAAGGTTATATTTATTTGTAGGGTGTTTTTGATCAAGCTACTTGAGAGTTCTTTTGAAGTGTTTTTTGCTAAGCAAGGATCAAGGTACGTTAGGTGGCTAGAAACCTTGAGAGTGATCGATTTGAATGAACATGTTTGAATGATTTATGTTGCTTGAATTAAATTGACTTTAATTATGGTTTATGAAATAAAAGTATGTTTAAAAGATTGGTTTTAATAATTGAATTGGAGTGTTGGTTTTTGTAACATGTTTTGATTAATTAATTTATTATTCATGTTTAAAAAGGGATTTATTTTAAAAGCGTGTTGAATTTATTAAAAAGGAGTTTGGATTATTATTATTAAAGGTTGAATTATTGGATTTAAAAGAGGATTTATTGAATCATTGATTTATTATTTTTTTTATGCTTTATAAGTATGTTGGTAATCCCACTATGCGGATTTGGTTTATTGATAAGGCCTTGGACTTTGTATGATCGGGTCTTTCCTCAAGAATAGCCTTGTAACTTGGGAGAGGAATTGGTTTAATTGGTTTAATTGGTTTAATATGGAGGAATTGGTTTTAAATAATTGGTAATGGTTTTATTGGTTATTGGAATATTGAGAATTGGTTTTGAATCATGAGTTTGGAATTATTGGATTAATTATTGGAACTGGTTTTAAAGCATGTTTGCAAATAAATTGAGTTTAATTATCTTGCACTTACCGTACTTAGCATATTTTGCTAACCCGTACTTCTTATTTGTTTTGGTTCGCCATGTTTATTGTAATGGTAAGCAGTGTTATTTCAGGTGAAGTGAATAAAGTGATGCATTGGAGTCCCGGGATTTGGTTTCACTAAATTAGGAATGTTGGTTTTGTATCTATTTTGAGTACTCATAACATTGGTTGCTATTTCTAGTTATTATTAATAAAGAAGAGTATTGAAGTTTCCGCTGCAAAGTATTGTTATTCTTAGTAATTTGAGTAGCCTTGCGTAATCACGCGGCGGTAATACGCCTAAGTCTATCTCTACGGTATAATTATACGTATTATACTAGTATTTCCGTAGAGGGAGATTTGGGGGTGTTATAGTTGATTTCAAGATTCCTCTATTCCAATGTAAGTGGGTTGATAGTAGCCGCGGTGTAAAAACAGATGAACAAGGGAACTTGAACCTTGTAAATCTTGGTCGACGAGGAAATCTAGCTGATCCATTTATATTAGCATCACAAGAAAAGCAAGTTTTTTATATGGCTGACCCAGCTGATTGTAAATGTTTCGTTGTTTTAGAAGGTAATAGAAGTATACTTGGCATTGAAGATGTGGTGGACGAGGAAGAATATGATGAGCAATTTAATGAGTCACCACCTTCCGTTTGGAGCATCCCTCCAATAGTCGATGATTTTGAAACAACGTTGAAACTTAAAGATCATAATGAAGGATTTTATGTCGCAAAAGAGAATAATGAAGTAAGTATGTTTTCTGTGATTTTTATTTTTCCATTATGTGTTACTATTTGCATAAATTGCATATTATTATTATTACTGTTATTGTTATTGTTATTGTTATTACTATTACTATTACTATTATTATTATTGTTGTTGTTGTTGTTATTATTATTATTATTATTATTATTATTATTATTATTGTTTATGGTTATTATTATTATTATTATTGTTATTGTTATTGTTATTGTTATTGTTATTGTTATTTTTATTGTTATTGTTATTGTTATTGTTATGATTGTTATTATTATTATTATTATTATTATTATTATTATTATTATTATTATTATTATTATTATTGTTATTGTTATTGTTATATCTCAAAAACAAAAGTCATACAACCTACAATAAATTAGTGGGAAGCCGAGATACAATCTGGCCCCCCACTCCTCTAGCTATAGCAAAGCCTACCATAGAGAATATATGAGCTGCAGCACGAGCCCCAATGTCTTGCGTCGTTAAGAACCTTTGAATCCGCTTTAGCAACGCACCAACCTCTTTCTCTAAATCCCCAAGTGAAGAAAAGGAGAAGGGAATGAAACCATATCCAATCGCCAGACAACGAGCTTCGTACTTAACCCGCTTCCGATGAGCCGCATCAGCCACAACCCATCCCGGAACAAAGTCATATAGCCGTGTCTGTGTCAAAGGAGAAGACCCTGTGAAGTCGACACATACATCACGACCACGATCCCATGAATAAAGTAACACATCGGCAGGTCTAAGGGCCCTGTCATTCCCTCCAAACAATCCTATGTCAACCTCCTTTTTTGCTGAAATCCCAGATCTGTAGCAAATATCAACAAATGTATCTCGAACAACATTGTGCCGATGTTTAATACCAACAATGCCAGCACACGACACCGCATGGTCGCCGAATACATCCCCAGTAAAACCCCGAGAGCAAGCAGAGCACGGTGTCGAGACAGAGAACAATGGAACACCCATCCGATAACACAACACACATCGATATTATTATTATTATTATTATTATTATTATTATTATTATGTGTACAAGTTTATAATTTATAAATAATACAAATCGATGTCTTAATTGATCTATTGATTTATGTCTGCTTTTCAGGTAAGTAATAATGGAGGATGAGGATAGGCATAATCGTTCCGTGTCTTCGCGGGGTGAGGAAAGACTTGAAGATGAGCCTCACAATCAGAGCAACAAACAACCGACTCTAAAAAGCAGAAAAAGAAGCCAAGAGGTCCTTCAAATGGCCTAAAATCCATGTCAGGGGTTCCTAGAGTGATTGAATAGGATGAATTGTGTCGACCCATTAGAAAGTGGGCAAAAGCATACAAAAATCATCTTGGTGAAATAAGGTGTGCAAAAGTGTCTATATTGTTTAAAGATTGGAATGAAGTTCCACAAGGAATAAAAGACACTTTGTGGGAAGATGCTAAGGTAATATTGACTATTAAATGTTAAATGTTATACTATTATATGATCATTTTGAAATTATTTGAATGTGAGACTACTTTTTTTGTTTTATGTAGAGAGAGTTTCAAATCGAAGAAGATGAAATAAAGAAAAAAAAGGTCATACGCTCTTGTGATAAGCTATGGAGAGATTTTAAAACAAAATTGGTCAGTGGTTGGATCACATGTACAAGGAGTATGCCGAAGGACAAAAGAATGTCGTATGAACTCTATGATTTCATATCTGAAGATATGTGGAAAACATTTATGGAGCAACACAATACAAATAATTTTATGGTTTGTGTGTGTATTATAATTAAGGAAAAATTAGAAAATAACACCCAAAAATTGTCACGATTTTGATAATAACACCACAAAAAAAAAAAAAAACGTAGATTATAACACCACCAAAAAATCAAAAATTTTGATTTCACCACCACTTAAATTTTTCATCCAAAAAACCGCTAGTGGGTCCCACATTGTACATGTGTCAATTATGCATTGAATTAAAATAAATAAAAAAAAGAAAATTTTTAAAAAGGAAAACCCTTAAAATACCCAGCCACCATCGACGCCGCCGTTCCTATCGCTGTTCTCCAACCCAGCCTCCACCACCGTCACTAGGGTTGTACACAGTTTGGTATGGACCGTAACCAAACCAGAATAAACCGCATTTTAACGGTTTGGTTTGGTTTACGGTTTGGAAAAATACGGTTTGGTTTCGATTTTTTGAGAAATACGGTTTGCGGTTTGGTTTGATTTTTCAAAAATTATAAACCAAACCAAACCGTAAACCAGTAAATCGCATTTTAATATTTATATAATTTTTAAATAAATTAAAATAGTTATTATATATTATAAAAAAATAAAAAAACATGAAAAATCATTAGAAGACTTAACGATCAGTATACTACTACACTCTATACTCAATCTCAAATATCAATACTTAAAATTCAATTGGTCATATAACTATAATGTAGTATGATGTAGTATGAATTATTTTTTGGACAAATGTATTATGTTTTTTTCCATGGTTAATTTGTTATGTATAATTTTTATTATGTGTTATTGTGTTAGCACTTAGCACTTGATTAGTTGGTTGTTATTTTTATTAAAAATTTGTAGTATAATTTAATCCCTTTGGGCTAATTATTTGAACTTTATTATAAGTTTATTAATATTTGACAATTTTTAGGAAAAAATGTCGTCTTATCATAAACCGCAAACCAAACCGCATTATTACGGTTTTGTTTGGTTTGGTTTGGTTTCAATACTAATATGGTTTGGTTTGGTTTGGAAAATTGACCAAACCGTATTTTGCGGTTTGGTTTGGTTTAGACTCAAACCGCACCAAACCAGACCATGTTCACCCCTAGCCGTCACCCAATCCCAACCAACCACCCTCGACCCACAAAATCAGCCAGCCGACCACCCTTGACTGTCGAAATCAGCCCAAACGTACCCATGAAAGAACCCGAACCCCAATTTGGTTCAAGGTGAGGGTGAGAGGAGTAGGGTAGTTAGTGGGTGGGTATGGGTGGGTCGGGGTTTCGGCGGTTTGGCGACGACTTTGGGTTGGGTTTGGTAGAGGAGTACGATGGCTGGCTGATTGTTTTTTTTTATTTTTTTAAATTAAGCCAATCATGTGCTGACATGTGTCATTTAAAAAACCAAAAAAATAAGTTTACCCTTTCAACAGGTAACCGGTTTATGGGACTGCTGGAGGAAAACTGACCTTATAGTTAGGATTATTAGAAAATAAACGTTAGTTGGGATTATTATAGGTAAATCGCCCATAGTTGGGATTATTAAAGTGTAAGTTTCCTTTTTATAAATCATTTGAATTATACTTTAGGTTGATAGAATTTGTTTGTTCATATAATTTAAAATATGTGTGGTATAAGCCATATGGTAAATAAATTAGATAGAAGTATGTTTGTGTGTAGTTTGACACAAAATGTCCCATGTGTATATCTATTGTATTGCATTTGTATCATCAAACCTAATGTTTTCTTAGAGATGTGATGAGTGATAAGTTCATATTAATGAAGAAATACATGTATGTCCTATGGAATTATATGGGTTTATCTATGTAAACTCATATGGATTACATGGCTTTGTATACCCTTATCTTTACAAGCCATGAGGTATAGCTAAAAGAGCCCATTTGTATTTGTATACCCTTATCTTTACAAGTTTATTTTCTTTCTTTGAATTTACATAATGGCACTGGACAAATGTTTATGACACCCATTCCTATTTTTTTATTTTTATTTTTTTTATGAGTATGACATCCATTCCTAGCTTGTATGAGTTTAATACTAATTGTGCTCAAATATTAGAATATACGAACTCCAAAAGAAATGTCATGTATGTACTTGAATTAAGCAAAGGTTTGAACTTTTCATATAAACTAGGTTAAATCCCGTGTCATGCACGGTTATAATTAAACTTTACAACAAAATTTATAAAGAATGGTGTTAATTCAACAAATTTATCCAAAAAAAATAAAAATATTTGTAACAAAATAATAGTCTCTAATTAAAGATATTGATGGTCAAAATTGTGTCTCAACAAATGTGCAAATCCAACCATAACTTATAAAAAAACGGAGGAGTATAATATAATAAAATGATTTTGTTAAGTTATTCTTATAAACGTTATGTGTATTTGTAAGATTTATACAAATTATCCTATCAAAACTATTATTCCTATTTTTAATTAAAATAAATTTTAAGTCGGAGGAAAAAAAATTATAATAATATTATGATAATCTTGGATGATGATATATGTCAATACCTTAATTTTAAACTATGTTAGTATATTTGTAACTAAAAGATTTATAGTATATAAAATATATGTTGAAAAATAATAATAATAAAAAATAAATTAATTGAGTATTATTGGATTAAATGTGTTGTCAAAATGGAAATAAGTATTATGGTAGGTTATAAAAGGGAAGTTATTAAAATTTGGCAAAAAAAAAAAAAAAGGAAAGAAAAAAAGGCGGGAAATTTTTTTATAAGTGACAAGTGTCACTTTAGGTTTGCTTTTAGTATAGGTTAATTGATGGTGCTGAAGAAGCTTTGCTTACAACTTGCCTTACTGCTAGCTTACTAGAAGCTTACATTTACTCTGATTTTCATTTGGAGTTTGATACGGTTTTTTTCTAGAATAAAAAAAACTGGTCCTTAATCGTTTATCTTTTGTATATTTTTATGGATAATAGGGATCTTCTCTGGTGGAAAACGATAAGCTTGAGCTTGCAATTTCTTTCCTCGAGAAGGCCAAGGTGTAGGCGTCGCTCGAAGTGCGCCTACGTAAAAGCATGTGGTGAATATGCTTGGCACTCTTAGGAAGTGGGAATTGACATTACGATTAGGGACAAAGCAAAGTAGGGAGCCGCCAACAAGTTTTTAAGGAACTTGTAAACCGTTCACGGATCATAAAAGACAACCACGAGAAAGGGACAACGAAAGGCAACAACGATTGACCCGTGAAGGTTACACCCCATTCATAATCTATGAGATTACTAACTCCATATGGTTCGGAACCACGAAAGGAGGATTGGGGATGATGGTACGAAGTGAGTCATGGAGTCACATTCGCCCGTATTGGCCTCTACTCGATTCTTATAGTGAAAAGTGATTCCTGCAATCTCAAAGGCATACAAACAAAATATTCAATTTGCTCCAAACTATTATTATGCTAAATTGGTTGAATATTAATGCAACACATTACTCTAAAATATTTTGATCACTTTATTAAACAACAAGATTATAAAGGAACCTAAACCGGTTGTCCAAATTATCTTATTAGTCGTGATTTCCAATTACATATTCCCTTTAAACATGCAATATAGTGATCAATAAATAATAATAGAATAAACATTAATATTGGAAGCAATTTAACAATAATAGCGTTAGTCAAATCAAATATAAAATAACCCTAATCATGATACTAGCAATATTAAAATAAAATAAGAGTAATTAAATTAATTAATTACTCACATTCTGCGCGTTCCTTTAAATTGCTACATCATGAATAAACTGTTAGTAACTTCAATAAAAAAAATATAAATTAAATAGAAATTAAATTAAATTAAATAGAAAGTAGAGTTGATTTGGTCCAAACCCTCATTTATATGTACCTTTCACGCCTTGGTTTAAGGACGGAACCTTGGGTTAAGTATGGACTCCTTGGAGTGCTTAAGGGAAAAATGATGTAATTAGGAATATAAGTTTAAGGCTTAGAATATGAGAGAGAGAGAGAAGAAGAATTTTGGTGTAAAAGAGTGGAAGAGACAAGGATTTGATGATCAAGCTTGTTGATCATTGGAAAATGGGTGATATGACCTCTATTTATAGAGAAAAAAAGAAGGGTCGAAAAAACAAGATAAGATCCGAATTAAATCGGAATAAAACTCGATAGACAGCAGTTTTTGCGTTTTTTGTTTTTATCATATCTTTTGATCCAGAAATCGGAATAAGATGAATAAGATATCTTTGAAAATCTCTTAAAGTCTACTTCTAACCCAATTAGAATCAGATTAAAATATTTTGTAGAATAAAAGATATAGACGAAATAAAGAGACGGTGTCAGTTTTGGATTGAGTTTGACATTTTATTCATATCTTTTCCGTTATAGCTCGGAATTGATATTATAATATATCATTGGAAATATAATTTCAAGGGCTATCCAACCATATAAAATTTGGATAAAAAATATGAGGCACGAAAATAATATCTGTCTATCTTTGAATGTCTTTCAATTCGAATAAAATTAGGACTTTCAAAAAAGGAGTTTTATTCAATTTCAAACTATTTAATCTTATCTTTTCAAAAAGGATAATCAAGATCTTTTAGAAACTTATAGAAGCTTTTTATTAATCCTAATTGGTTTAGGAATGGGATTAAATAATTTGGACCCTCCACATGATCATTGGGTCGTAGGTAAGGTGGGCTTAGGTTCGGTTTGGGCTCAGTTTAATATTTTGGCCATAACTTATTCGTTATAACTCGGATTTGGGCTTATAATATATCGTTGGAAAGCTCTTTTAAAGCCCCATCCAACTATTCAATCATTAAACCCAGATTATGGACCAAAATAAACTGGATTAAACGTTTTTATAAAAAGGACACGAAATGAATAATTTTAAAGGACACAAAATGAATTATTTTGGGTTTAAAGACACGAAAAGAGGAAAATAAGTTATGGTTTGGGGAATTGGGCTAGAAGTTGGGTTGGTTTATGAAATGGAAATATGGATTTAAGCACTCCAAGATTAAATACTTAACCCGACCAATAATGGCGGTGAAAGGTTGTTCATCATCGGGTTTGGATTTGGGGAGACATTTTTAGGTGTCTACACAAGGCAAAGGGTGTGTCTCTTTTGTTGCCTTCTAATGTTATTGTGGCAGACAAGTTTGCTGTTGATGCAATTACTATTTTTTCATTATTCTTTTTTTTTTTGTTACTGACAATTAGTATGATGTGTGGCACATTGTAGATTGTCCTTGCAGCTAGAATCCCAGATGGCTGGATGAGATTGGCCTGGACATCAGACCTGATTCTATTAAGAAATTTAGTGATGCTTTGGACACTAACCAGATAATCACCTGGAATGGTCCCATGGGAGTCTTTGAATTTGACAAATTCGCTATTGGCGTAGAGGTAAGACTTTACTTGCTTATGCCTTAGTAAATTTTGAGGTACTCTACTGAATCGTGATTGATCTGTAGTTTTATACAAGTGCCTGATAAATTATTTCACTAATAGATGTGCTTTTAAGATCTGTGAGTCATGATCCCAATCATTTTTGTTTTGATTTTGCTGCAATTTGGAACTTTGTCATTTGTTTATTGCCGGGGCAAAACCAATTTGAAACTTTGTCCTTCAGGATCTGAGCTATTAATGTTGTTTGGTTCTTGCTTTGCTAACTACCCACACAAACAACTCTTTTTTCTATTTTGATAATTATTGGACATCATGATCTTAAATTAACGTCTAAATTTTGCTTCTCGTTTACAGGATATTGCAAAGAAGCTGGAGGAGATTAGTAAGAAGGGTGCAACCACAATTATTGGTGGTGGTGACTCTATTACAGCAGTAGAGAAGGTAGGAGTGGCAGAGGCAATGAGCCACATATCAACTGGTGGTGGTGCTAGTTTGGAGCTGTTAGAAGGCAAAGAGCTGGTGGTGGTGCTAGTTTGGAGCTGTTAGGAGTGGCAGAGGCAATGAGCCACATATAAGCTGGTGGTGGTGCTAATTTTGATTCTGTGTTGTTATGCTGCTGCTTCTATGCAGCCGTGCTACTGCTTCTGTGTAGTTGTGCTGCTGCTTCTGTGTAGTTGTGCAGCTGCATATGTTGCTCTTTATTATAGGTGGATTTGGTGAAGTCTAAGGGTAATTTAAATGAAATTTTCCCATGTACAGTATTTTGGTTTATTTGTGTGTAACCTTGTATTTTATTTTAATTTACTTTTTGGACGAAAATTGTAATATTACTGTCTTTATTAATGAAAATATGTAAGTTTATATATATGTAAGTATTTATATATCAATTTAAGCAAAAAAAAATGAAAAAAAATTTGGGCCATTAAGGGCACCGGTTCTAAACAGGAACCAGTGCCAATAACTCCTTACAAAAACGCAGTAAGGTTTTTTTGGCACCGGTTAACCGTGCCAAAAATAAATATTAACACCGGTTAATCGGTGCCAATTTAAGAAATTGCCACCGGTTTTGAACTAGTGGCTTTTTTTTGGATAAAATGACATCCCTTAAATACTCAGCGATTCAAAACTGGTGCCTTATGGGGGTTTTGAACCGGAGTCAAAATACATTTTTCTACTAGTGTTTGTTACCGTTGCTATATTGTAGGCGTTGTTCGTAGTTTGCCTACGTTAAAGCATGTGTGAATATGCTTGGCACTCTTAGGAAGTGGGAATCGACATATACGATTAAGGACAAGGAAATTAGGGAGCCGCCAACAGGTTTTTAAGGAACTTGTAAACCGTTCACGGATCATAAAAGGCAACCACGATAAGGGACACCGAAAGGCAACAACGATTGACCCGTGAAGGTTATACCCCATTCATAATCCATGAGATTACTAACTCCATATGGTTCGGAACCACGAAAGGAGGACCAGGGATGATGGTACGAAGTGAGTCATGGAGTCACATTCGCATGTATTAGCCTCTACTCGATTCTTATATTGAAAAGTGATTTATGCAATCTCAAAGGCATGCAAACAAAATATTAAATTTGCTCCAAACTATTATTAAGCTAAATTGGTTGAATATTAATGCAACACATAATTCTAAAATAATAGTGATCACTTTGTTTTATAACAAGATTAAAGGAACCTAAACCGATTGTCCAAATTATCTTATTAGGTGTGATTTTCAATTACATATTCCCTTTAAACATGCAATATGGTGATCATAAAATATATAATAGAATCAACATTAATATTGGAAGCAATTCAACAATAAATTGTTAGTCAAATCAAATAATAATAAACCTAATCATGATACTAGCAATAAGAATAAAAATAAGAGTAATTAAGTAATTAATTACTCACTTTCTGTGTTCCTTGAATTGCTACATCATGAATAAACTGTTAGTAACTTCAATAAAAATATAAATGAAATTAAAACAATTAAATTAAATAAAAAGTAGAGTTGATTTGGTCCAAACCTTCAGTCAATTATATCTTTCACGCCTTGGTTTAAGGACGGAACCTCGGGTTAAGTATGGACTCCTTGGAGTGCTTAAGGAAGAAATGATGTAATTAGAAATATAGGTTTAAGGCTTGGAGTATGAGAGAGAGGGAGAGAATGATTTTTTTTTTGGTGTAGAAGAGAGGAAGAGAGAATGATTTTGTTCCCCAAACTGTAGAAAGGAGGGGGGTATTTATAGGGAAAATGAGTAGAGGGAACACACGGAACCCTAAAAAGGATAAAAAAACCCTAATTTGGGGCAATGTGACACGGTTAGAGGGTGCCGCGACACGGTAAAGATTGTCGTGTCGCGGTGCATTATTTTGCCCTAAAATGATAAAGCGCGTGCAGTTGTGTACGCGCAGATAACACGGAAAAATCCCGTGTCATGGCATGTGTACCGTGACACTGCAAAGGATTCCGCGACGTGTCAATGTCCACCGTGGCGTGGCAAGCGGTGTCGTGTCACGTTGTACATTTTTTCAAAATTTGTGTCCAGGTTCTTAAGTGCGTGGGGAAAGAAATGCGGAAAAGACACAGGAAAGCACCATGACACGGTGAAAAATACCGTGTCACGGTACCAGGCCCCGTGCCATGTCATCATCCCCCGCGACGCGACAATTTAGCTAATGTGCGGTATTTCTAGTTTTTACGCATTTTTAAAACTATGATAAATTTTGATCCGTAACTTGGAATAAGGCATATAATATATCATTGGAAATCTTATCAAGTCTACTTTCTAACCCAATTAGAATCAGGTAAAAATCATTTGTAGATTTAAAGATATGGTTGTTTTAGTAAAAGGGTATCGGTTTGTTCGAGTTTAGTATTTTGCTCATATATTCTTCGTTTTAAATCAGAATTAAGCTTATGATATATTGTTGGAAAGATTATTTCAAGGCATATCCAAACAAATAATAAGTTGATAAAAATTATAGGGCCAAAAAAATCAGTTTCTCTCGGTGTTTTGATGTGGACACGAAAAGTGGAGAGTAAGTTATGGTTTAGGGAAATTAGCTATGAATTGGATTGGTTTATGAAATATATTGAATGTAAACATGGATTTAAGCACTCCAAGATTAAATACTCAACCTAACCAATAATGGCAGTGAAAGGTTGTTCATCATCGGGTTTGGTTTTGGGGAGACATTTTTAGGTGTCTACATGTATGCAAAGAAATATGAATACCAACAATTTTGATTGTGTCATTGTTTACAATGGATGCCCTAGAAAATCCTCACGCTATCGATAAATCATAAGCAATGTCATAATCAAATACCGCACTGATAACATCAGAATTAGATATAATTCCATCCACTATGAATTTAATTCTGATGGAATTAAACAATAATAGACTTTTCAAAATTCTTCGGCTTCTGAAAATGAATTTAATATTAATCACTACTGTCAGATTTATATTTACTACTGTCAGATTATGTTTACTATTGTTAGATTTTAAATTAGTATTGACTTAATATTTATTGAAATTTACTAAAGTGTGTATTCTTTTAATAGAGAGAGGTATGAGGCTTTGAAGTGAGTAATTTGAAAACTCTATTCTTTATTATAGTTTTAATTTCTAGTATATTTCTAGTACCATGTTTAGGATAAAATATATATACAGTTTCACATAATTTGTTAATTTACGAATAATTTATATATAATTTATTAACATGTCTTCTTCCTCTTATATGTTGCTTGATTACTCATAATTTATTGTTATTGGTTGATCACGCCCTTTCTTGTAGGATTAAAGAGAATTTGTACTTGAAATCACGCTTAATAAGATTATTTATAATTTGATTTAGGCTTATGTGATTTTAACTCAAGTGATCGTCAATATTAGATTTATTTGTGCATTAATAATCAACCAACATAGATTAAATATGCTTAGGGGATGCCTGAATTACAAGTAATCATTAGAGAGTAGATATTCATGCACTTACTATTCAGGGGGAAGAGATGTGGTGGACAGAGTTTTTAGGAGCTAATATTTATCAGGTTTAGAAATTTTAGTGGGTTTATAAATTCTAGCTTATTATCAAGTTTGACTATATTTCCCTACTTTATGTTCAAGGCAACTTACATAATATTTGTAATAACATACTTTGTTTTTGTTTTGTTTTATTTATTTATTTTTTTTTATGTTGAAAGAAAAGTTATTTTTCTATTTTTTTTTCTAATAAATTCTTAATTAGTACTTAAGTACCTTGAAATAGTCCAATAGACAATTAGCTAAAAAGTAGTTTCAACTTTATTAGTACATATGTCAAAATTAGCAAATTTTTAAACTCAAACTTGATGTATCATCAACATTGACTCCCAAACACCACCCTTATTTATCTAAAATCATAGTTAGAAAATCATATTTCTCATCATCATCCACCAAGTCTCAAAATATCACAATCTCATCTTCATTCACCTTAATAAACAAAGAAAGAGCATTAGCCGTAGAAATACCAAGAACTTTACCTAATTCTTCACGCAATCCAACCTTGATATTTTTTTGCCCTTCGAGAATACTAACCAACTTATCAATCTGAGCATTGCTATTCTCCAACATCTTTCCCATCATCGACTCCAAATTTTTTTGAACATTTTGAATTTCTTTGTTGGTTGTTTGCATCTTTTTCTTAGTTGGCCTCTTGGATGAACCCTCATCTATAGTCCTCTTACTAGATCCTTCAGTCTACACATCATCATTGTGGTTTGTAGATGATACTTCATCAGTCTTTTTGAATGATGTAGCATCATCTTAGGTGATGTCTTGGACATTCATGACTTGATCATCTCTATCAAGAGGCATTGCAGCTTTCACTCTAGTTGCTCAATCTTTTGCAAATACTTCCTCAAGATCGTCCAACAATAGGAATGGTTTTCGATACAAGCCCTTTGCTTCTTTGTGACTTTGTAAATTTATGGTACAAAACAGAATAAAAATAAACTCAAATTTAGAATGTTAGTATTATGTTAGAAGATAAACCAAACACAGTCAAAGCATCTTCAAGCAAGGGTGGAGGGAATAGAAGAGGGGTTGTTGATGAGTCTATTATATATATATATATTTTCTTCCCCATCCACGTTCATATTTGTGCTTATTTGAGCTCAGCAGAGCTATTTTTATTACTAATATACGTTTTTTTTTAGTGTTTTTTAGAGTTGGTATTATTTTGTAGGAATTTGCAAATTTATAATAATTCCTGACAGGTACAAAGATATTGGAGTCGGACCGTATTTTATGACCGTATATTTTAAGCCCAAGATCGAGCTAATTAAATTTGGTTCGATGATTAAGGGCTTGATATTTGAAGAGGTCCAACATTCTACAAGTTATTATTACGGACCAGTCAAGGAAGAAAATTGGACCAAGCTTGAGAAGCCCATCCAAATAGAGCAGCCCAAGAAGCCATGAATCCTGCTGGGCTCCGAATTAACGCATCTCTACTTCTAGTGGGATTAGAAATTGATTAGGAGTCAAACTTCTTTTTCCTATCTTATTTAAGGAGGGAGTTACGTAGGCTTTGGGAGAGCTTTTTAATTATTTAGTTTTAGTTGGATTTATTTGTTTTGTTTTTCATTAGTATTAGTTTAGTTTTATTAATCAGTTTTTAGTTTAGTTTTTATTTTCCCTTTCTCTCTCTAACTTTTCTCTCTCCTCTTAATTAAACTCTTAGTATTACTTTCTCTTATTTTTCTCTCCCAAAACTCTTAATTTATGCAATTTTATATTTCTTTCTTTTAGTACTATCTCTTCTCTCTTTTATTACTTATTTTCTTTGCTTTGAT